AGAGTAGTGTGTGTGTGTGTGTGTGTGTGTGTGTGTGTGTGTGTGTGTGTGTGTGTGTGTGTGTGTGTGTAAGAATGTAACAGCCTGCAAAATAAGCCTAACTCTTTTGCACTGATTCCTCTGACAGCAGTCTGAAAAATAACATATCCAGTGCCCTGTCTGGCTGACAATACTTTATGTTGATAACTCACATTCTATGGGTTTTTACATGGCTGCTCCTTTAACAGAAGCGTAGCTGGATTTTTGAAACAAATTTTCTCCATTAGTAATGGGGGAAACTAGCAAAGAAATTGCTGACTATCATCTCGCAAATCTGTGGAGGTGGATGAAGACTAAATGGGGCCCACATTCACTACAGTATTTTTGCCAGCTCCCCTAAACGTATTTACTTCAGTTTACCATCTCTCTCCTCCAGTTCCTTGGTGTTTCTCCCAAGTCCCCCTCAAATAGACTCTTTCTTCCTGGACTCCCCACCATTTCCCCAATGAATTCCTTGATCTTTCTCCTGTAGTGTCCCAGATAAGTGCATGGTTTCTCACTGACTCAGTGATCCACATGGCTCCCACATACAACCAGTCCTGGATGCAAGGATCCTGCCTTAATCTGCTGCTGTGAAATCTCCCAGACCCATAGCAAATAAAAGTCAAAAGATAAAACCCTACTCATGACACCAAGAGCTGGAATGAATTTGGTGATTATTTTTGTTAGTGGCACTTCAGGAGGGAAAATATATATTGGATATATCCAGCATATTTCTCTGAAACATCTGCCCATTTGAAAGCATCCAAATTACTAACATTATTTTGTAATCCACGGATCTGCTGCATCCTTTATTCTGTTCTATTGAGACTATTCATGAGTACGGTTCTATCTTTTGACATTTATCTAGAAAAAGCCTCTCATTAAGTTCCAATTAAAGCCAAGATGTAGCAACCTACCGGGAAGAACAGTGGCACAGATAATAAAACACAGGTTTTCCTCTCTGGCACAGTAATAGAGATCCTAAGACTAGCCCACCATGCTAGCAACTCCTCTAGAATTAACATACATGGTATTTAGCTGCCCTTCTGTCATACTTGACTCAGATTGAATTACCATTCTGGAGGACTGCTCTCAAAAGTGAAGGTGCTTTGTTCTACTTGAAATGGGGTGGCTTAAATGGTCATGTAACAAACAGAAGTTGATTCAGTAAAAGATATTACCTCACCCATCTTGTCTCTCTCATGTAACAATCAAGGCCACCCAGAATGAAAACATCTTCTGTAGCCTCTGATCAGGGAAGTAAATGGATACCTGCAGATATAAAATACACAAGACAGTATACCATTATTAGGTGTGCTATCACCATAGACCCAGTTCAACTACTCTTACTCAGATAAGAAATATTTTAATCCACAAGTACTCCCATTGATTTCAATAGGAACTATTCTCATAAACAATCCGTAATGATCTCTTTTGGCCTTAAAAATCTATTTAATGTAAGGATTACAGAATAAATACCTCAGTGTATAAATCAGAGCCTGACATCTTTCTACTTACACTACAGTAGATTTAACTCAGAGTCATTTTTGTTAGTCCATCTCCTACATATTAGAAGTAATTCACTGGCTAACGTCCAACATTCCTCAAATCATCCTTACACTTCTTCTAATCCAAGATGTGAAATGTGCCATCTCTCATCTTCCTTCTAGTTTAGCTATATTGTAATTGTTGAAGTCTCTCTTGTGAGCCATAGAACAATGATGTTTCCTTGATGCTATTGTTAAATTGAATCCTTCTCTCTTGCTATTTGAGAGAGGGAGAGAGAGAGAGAGAGAGAGAGAGAGAGAGAGAGAGAGAGAGAGAGAGAGAGAGAGAGAGAGAGAGAGAGAGAGAGAGAGAGTAGTAGTAGTAGTAGTAGTAGTAGTAGT